GAAAAGGAGATGTCTCTTTTTTATGTTATTTGGATAACATTATTAATGAAGAGAAAATGAGAGGGAGGTAGAGGGATGGGCAACAAACTCTCTTCAAATCTCTTATTTTTAATTCATCTAATTTGTGTGACTCGGAAGGAAATTGGATTATTTTTGTTTTATTTTTTACTTTTTAAAAAAAATATAATTAAAATTTATATTTTAGTTTTAATCTTAATATATGTATTTATAAAATTTTAATTAATTTTATAATTATTTTTTTAATTTGTTTAATTAAATAAAAAACATAATCTTTTCCTCTCTTTCCTTCTTCTTTTTTTATTTATTTAATCTATTCAATAAAATTAACATTTCTTTACTCTTATTCCCTTTCTCTCTTTTTACTTCCCCTCCCTGTTCTTCACTTTCTTTTACTAATTTTTATCCAAATATAGTGTAAAAGAATACCCATTATATAAAATCTAAAAAATATAAATTATTACTAAGTATTAGTAAATATTGTCTATTTTAGTAATTATACATCATACAATATTTTTTAAATTTTAATTACTAATTAATCAAATTTATGATATTTGATCTATAATTCTTTGAATAAAAAAATAACTAAATATCAAAATAACTTTTAATTATAGTTATAATACAGTACAATTATAGCACTTTATAGTAATTCTAAACACATCCCTATATATAAAATTAAAAGTCTCATTTTAGAGTTTTTTTTACTATAATTTTATGAACAACACTTAATATTTAATTTTTAGGGCTTATTTAGTATAATAGTTAAAATTTAGTCGATAATGGTTAGTAAGTAATGGGTAGTGAATAACGGATATTAGATAGCGAGTAGTGGTTGATGGTTAGTAGATAGCAGATGACGAATAGTAGATAGTAATTAGTGAATAATTGATGGTAGATTTAATTGATGTAATTATTTGGTTATACAATAATTAGCAGTTTTTATTTAACATTAAATAAATAATAAAGACATATTTAAAAACAATGAAGTGTATTTTTTTTGTTTTATATATTTTATTATTAAAATTATTAATTTTAT